CGGAACGGACGGGGGAGGGGCGGGTACAGCTGGCTCTGCCTTTAGATAGGCAGAGCCAGCTGTCAGCCACGCAGCTGGGCGGATCCAGACATAATTGTCAGGCCTCGCTTCAGCTGCGGCGTCTCAGTATACCGCGAGCAGCAGCTTGCGGTATACTGCGGCTTCTCAGTATACCGCAAGCTACAGCTCGCAGTATACTGAGCCTAGGGTGACGGGAGGACGCTAGTGTGTGTCCTCCCGTTACCCTAAGGAGAACTATGGGGAAAAGCCTTAACCCCATAGTTCTCCTTTTAAAAGATTTTTCAAAAGGGAACTGCCAGTGCTCACTAATAAAATATAATCTTACCTGGTACAAGTAAAACCTGTGACCTTGGTGCTGATTTTTTTCTTTTTTTTTCCTCCCTAGGAACAGTCGTGTGGATCTGAAAAGTCAGGAAGCATATGACTTGGCAGTACAAGGCCAGCTGCGCCCTAAGGAGAAGAGCCCACCTCTCATTCTGGCAGTGCGATGTTTGGATTTTTCTCCACCTGATTTCACTCTAGGTATGGCTTACATTGAAGATGCATAAATGTGTTCCATGTAGTAGTGTAAATATCACCTTTTTTTTTTTTTTTTAAACTAAATTTCTGTAAAATGCAAGAAAGTGTGGGGTTGCGCTTCTGGTGACCAGCCAGTTTGACTGCTTGATTAGATTTTAGAGAGTGGTAGCCATCAAGTCTTGTCCTTGGCTATAGCTGTACTGCAGCTATCTCTGTACTTTGACCGATGATAACCAAATGAATTAAATGGTAAGGGTGATTAAAACTGGAAACTACTTTTAAGGGCACTCTTACTCCCTTTGCTTAAGAGTGTGATCAATTAAAAGTTTTGTTTTCTGGATGGATTTATTTTGTACATCCTCACATTTGTCATCTTTTTTGAATCCTACTCTGTGCCAGTACTTAATGCATAACTACACTATTTAGCTTAGAGCTGTCACTACAGGTTACAGTATGAAAATACTGTTGTGTGTATACCTATAGGAGGATTTTATTATTCGCTTCCTAGAACTAGTTATGTGTAGAGTGCTGGTACAGCTAAATACATTTAAATGAAAAATGTATACAAACACAAAAAAATGAATGATAAGATAGCATTTCAAATCCAACTCCATCCAAAGTCTATGTTATTTTGGGTAGAGCAGGGACGGTGAAGACTTTTATTGCCATTTGTGTCCTTGTTTAGGAGATTCATCCTAATTGAACTGTCAGAACAGGAATTTATGTGAAATGTCTCAAACAGGGACACAGACAAAAACACATTGTGCCTTTCTATGCTAGTGACAATACAGCCCCACCACACCACCACCCCACTTCTTTACAGGCATGACAAAGTCAGAAAGTGAGGAAAGGAATCTCTTTTATTTCTGACAGAAACATAAACTGTTCCCCACCCTATCCAGATTTTTAAGAAAACATACTGGAATTAGGCTTTCCCTGAGCTTCCTGTCCAGTACAGGATCACAAAGGAATGGAGCAGACTCCAGCATCTGTCCATCTACTCCCTTGAAGAGGAGAGTGTCTTGCCCTGCCGTGCCTGTGTGTTTGTGTAGAGATGCAGCTTACTAGCACACACAAGGGTGACTCCACAGGGCCCAGTAAGGGAAAGGAACTACCCTAAAACAGGATATCTGAGACAGTGCTCAAGGGATCAGCTGATTTTGCCAGAAACTTAATAAATGTGTCAGTCATTTATGAACAGAACCTGAAAACTAGCTCAGTCATGAAGGGGTTAAACATCAAGGAACAGCATCCATTGTAAATTATTTAAACAGCATTTGAAATAGCGTAAAAACCTTTTGGCTTTAATATCACTTTAAGTGTAAGTAGCTCCTTGCTTGGCATGTATACAGTAAATTTTTACTGTTTTCTTCTTACAGAGATCCGATGTATGCATGAGACTCAGAAGTATCTCCGCAAAGTAATCCATGAAATTGGGCTGGAGCTCAGATCCACTGCAATCTGCACTAAGGTCCGTCGTACACGAGATGGCCCCTTTACATTGGACTGTGCCTTGACACGAGCACATTGGGATCTGGATAGTGTCAGCAAAGCCATTAAAGAATTCCATCCCAAAGTTAATGAAATTCTCAAAGAAAGCATGGACTTCACTTTGAAGAACACCAATTCTGAGGAGTTACACAGCACTGAAGAGAGAGGGTTTTAGCCAAACCTAGGGCAAATCAGAGCTGTAAAATAGAAGTCCCGAGAAATGGCTAAACGCAAAGCTGAGAAACATATGATTACATTATTATCTGTCAAAGGATTCCTATATTCTGTACAGTCAGTCTTGTGGACCACACTCCTGCCGCATTGAAAGGCAGAAAAATCACTCTACAATTCCTGTGTAAATTTTACCGGCAATTCATTGCCCACTGAACAAGCTGCAGACAGAGAAGTGATATAGAAAAATACAGATGTGAACAAGGAGATAAGTGTGCATGGCTTTGACAGGGTACAGTATGTAAACAAATATGTATTTCAGCTGTGTCCTTTTAGCCTTTTGTCCAAAGTTCTGCTTTAAGATTATTGTACACTTACTGTAACATTTTGTATATTGTGTAATTTATTGTATGTTTTTTGACATTTACAAAAACTTTGCAAAATTAGAAATACATTGTCAAAATCTAATTACATACCAGTCTTTCTAATCTAGAATGCACGCGCCCACAAAGGAACGCCAGCACGTGCCCACGAGCAGACTTGGATAGCTTTTCATTGACTAGTATACAGTTTTTTCTTTGTCCTGTGCAACTTAAATGGGAGCATTGAGGAGCAATTGTTAAAACAATGAATTGTGGACCTAAAGAAAAGCTTTCCAATGAGACACATTGGGGGGAGTAGTTGCTACTTATCATTCTTAATATGCTAGCTTTCTGGCTGTCATGTTTATCCTCCTGCTTCAGGTACTTTGCCTTACACGGAATGAGATTGCAAATAAGGATATCTGAAGAGATATGCATACTAGTTCTAGGTTAGTGACTTAATGGGAAATTCCACCTTTTAAGAAAAAATAAAATAAATGCACACATCTTCATGCAAGAAAAAAAAATGTGCATTTATTTTTTTGCGTTGGAGCCAGTTTAGCATTGTAACCACACTCAGTGGATCACGTGCTCCTAGAACGATTCTCCAGGTCATCCAGTTTTTGTTGCATAGAGAGTGTGAGGGCATCATAATGGGAGAGCTTATTGTGAGCTTCCAGCAGGTCGTCTTCCAGAGAGGAAATGCTCTGTTCTGCCTCCAGAGATGGAGCGGGCCTGAGCAGACAGATCTTTCCTAAGTTGTGAGAACCCCTGCTGTATCGCTTTCTCCACCGCAACGCTTATCGTGGGCTTAAGCCGCAATTCAAGCGTGGGACGAATCCTCGCCTCTGTCATCGACCGAGCATACAGGAGATGGGCTGCGGCGCTCTGGGCTGCCGGCCGCGTCCTCCATTTTAGCTGAGAGGGCGCCGTGTCCTGGGATATTGATAGTGAGCGGGAGCGCCCCGGAGCCAGAAACTTGTCCATGCCCTCTGCCCCTCAGATCAGCGTCTAGTGGACCGAAAAAACGGAGACTGCGAGTAGCCGTTTTTATATGAGAGAAGCCACGTAGAGGACGGAGCGCTGTCTCCTCGCTGCCTCTCAAATGGGAGCCGGAACCGGAAGTCTGGATCACGTGTTCAATGCTCTGCCTCCTGCAGACTCTTCCACCCGTCCATGTTCATACCTTGGTAACATGGACAGGAAGAACAATGAATGGACTACAAGTGTGGTGATGTCACCACATTTGTATTCCATTAAAATACAAGTCCCTCTGCTGAGGTGGCTTGTAAATAACAAAAAAAAGTGTATGTCTAGCCAAAACAATGTCTTCTTAGTTTTGAATAAAGTGGGAAGTTTTTGAACTGCCAGGGTTTATTGCTATCCAGGGCTCCTTTAGAGAGATCTGTCCTGCTGACATTTTCTCAGACAGGAACTGAGGGGAACTCTCCGACCGGGACGCAGAGAGAAATAAAAATGCTTTTATTTACTATAGTGGGGGAAGGCTAGAACCCCTGCCAGATTTGTATTTGGCCCTGTCACAGATTTTGCCCTCATTTCCTGCCTGGGGAAACTTGTCAGCAGGACAGGAAGTGAGGGCAAAGTCTAAAGGACTTAAAAATTCTCCAATTCAGCTCACTTTCCGGTTCAGGTATGTTGTCCTAGATTGTTCACTTCTCCTGCCTTCTCCAAACTCTTCACCCTTCTGTGAATAACCCTGTTAGTGAACAGCCTGGAGTTTGGCTGTAACTTGGTAGGTTCATACATTTCTAGGCCTCATTCACGCTGGTAGTGTCTGGGAAGCATAATCGTTTATACTTCCCACATAACTTCTTCATTTAAAATTAATTTGAAAAAAAAAGCTACATGCAGGAGTGTCAGTGTGAAGGAGGCCCTAGACTAGGAAATGAGATTCAAGAGGGTAAGAAATCCTCAGCAACTAAACATTTACTATTTAAGATCAGGACGTGAATGGTCGGCCGGTTCCAGGGACTTTGTTGCGAGAACAAACAAGGACAAATGGCATCCCTGTTGATTGCCATCTGTGATTGAGATGGTGTGTGAAAGGAATAGGTTGGATGAGCTTTACGTAAGCTGAGGGGCTTGAATGCACATTGCAGACTGAATTACAAACATTTTTCAATGCAAAAAGAAATGTCAGTGAAGTTGGCGGCCTTTTGGATATGAATGGTTAGAAATATAAAGGAGAAACTTGGAGCTATTAGCTGTTGGGAATGCAAACACAATGCCACACTTGCAATCCACCATACAGCAGCACTTAGACTGGATGAGAACGGGTCAGTATTAGGAGCCAATGAGGTGTACTGCATGCAAATATCCTGGCAGCCAAGAAGAAGAGCAGAAAGAGATGACCTCATCAATCTGGTTTTGCTCCTTCACTGTCCAATCAGTATGTAAGAAGTGGGAAGTACCTGGAAGTGTCTGCTATTCCATGCCAGAAATGCTTTACCAGCAGGCCTGCTTTAACATTTAACACTCAATTCACAAAACTGAGGGTAGACACACACAGTAGAATCTGATTGTACAATTCTCTTAAATTTACTAAAATGATGTAATATGAGGGCATGCTCAAACTATCCATGCAATTTGTATCTTGGCATGCAGCCCCAATCTAAAGGAGATTGTACAGACAGATTGAATAGGGCAGGGGTAGGCAACCTCGGCACTTCAGTTATGTTGAAACTACAAATCCTGTCATGCCTGTGGCTGTCAGCCTTGCAATGCTTCATGGGATTTGTAGCTTCACCCCAGCTGGAGTGCCAATGTTGCCTATCTCTGGTAGAGTGCATGGTGCACTCCAGGGGAAACATTTCTTAACGCTTTCAGCTGGACTACCCTTTACACTGCAAGGGTTAAGTGCTCGTTGTTGTCTATGTTAAAAAATAACAGATATACTTACCCGAACCTCGAATCCGGCCACTTCTGACACCACTCTCTCCAACCTGTCTCCTCTGCTGCAGCAATGGTATGTCCCATGGTGTCCTCATGTCCAATATACAGTGTATAGAATGTGATAACTCAAGAATCCTTAGACTGCTGCAGCGGAGGGGGAGTGAGGCAGAGAGGACTGGTCTAAGAGCTGCCTGGCTCTGAGGACCGGGTGAGTATAACTTTTTTTTTTAATTTAACCTAGACACAAATGAGCACTTATCCCTTTGCTGTGTGCAAGGGGGGTGGGGTGTAGCCTCACTGTGGGGGGTTAAGACATTTATTTTCCAGAGTTCTGCTTTAACACACCAGGATAAGGCCTCATGCTCATGGGCACATAAGGGTAGGCAGCTGTGGTAAAACTTCAAATTATATGTCTGTGGAAGTCATCCCTGTGGGACTTGTAGTTTCACCACTGCTGGAGGGCTGTAGTCTGGCTACTCATGTTCTAAACAAAGACAAGGTTGTCTTGAGGACCACCACCTCCTTTCTCCTGGAGCTGGAGTGCTGAGGTTGCCTACCCCTACCATAGAAAGTAAATTGCGGGCATGTTTGCATGCACAGGATACACACCTGCAGCATACAGCCACCCCATATTAGTGAATGTGTGTAGTCGATTGTACATGACTAATACGCATGTGCGGGTTTATGCAAGTAGTGGCGTAAACCCATGTACAGCAGTCTACACCCATTTACTAATATGGGTGGCTGTAACAATATATTAGTGTATGACCAGCTTTATTTCCAAAAAAGTGTCAGTTATTTTCAGATGAGTCCAATGAGATATGAAAATGTATTAGTCACATGACTAAAAACAGAGATCTGATCCTTGTGTTAAAGCAAATGCTGTAGAGATGACAAAGAGGATGATAAAAAGCCAAATAAGTTTCTGAGGCCTGAGATAAATCTGGGAAAAGAAGGCAAAAAGGAAGGGGGG